TTTCAGACACGAGCGTGCCGGCGTGGTCTTGTAGCAGCACTTGGTCGTCTCGACAGACTGTAATGAGCACTTGGGCGTCTTCGTCCGTGGCAATCGGGGTTGAAGCTGGGGGTTTGTGTCCAGCTGAGTTCATCACAGGTTTGCCCAAGCTTGCACGCAAGAGAAACTGGTAGACAGGATCCACCCGCTTGAGCGACCCTTTAACCAGCTCGTTGAGCACCTTTTCCATGCGATCCGCCACTGCTGGCTCTAGTCGAGAAGCGACTCGCTGCACAAACGGCGGCGCCTCGCGATAGGCGCGCTGCAAATAATATCTGTCTTCACTATCCAAATGGATCTTGCCAGCAGCCAAGAATGCATCGAAGAGAGGCAGAAGTGCCACACGCTGAGGGAGATTGTCTTCAGCTTGTCGAACAAGTGCAAGCATGCATTCGCAACGTTCACGGGTGTTGTAGAAGGCATAGGCAAAGGCGTCGACAAATTCGGCTTGCTCCCTCAAAGCAGTTGTGGGGGCTGGTTTGGCGTCAATGTGCCATTCTTCAAGGGACCGCTGTTGAAGCTTCAGAAAAGCAATCTTGTTCTGAAATGAGACAGGCGGGTGGCTTGACACAAACACAGAGACGCTTCGATTGCTCAGCGGTCGAACTGTTTGCAAAGCGACCTCACAGTCCGCGGTCAAGTTCTGGAACAGTTCTGTGTCGCTCAACTGACCGGCCCTGGCATGCCGCACTTCATCCACCTGATCGAAAAAGGGATTGGTTCCAGTTTTTGGTAACCATCTTGTCACTTTGAGCTTTTTGTGCCCCTCGCCAGTCACATTCACCCTAACACGGACGCAGAGCAGATCTTTCATGTGTGTCTAATTTAAAAAAAAAAAAAAAAACGTTGTGAGAAGGAACGTTGTGAGGGCGATGTCGATACTTCAAAAAACTCACCGGTCGGAAAAAGATACCACACGTGTTATTGGAGTGCAAGCATCGACCACCTGCCAGATCCCTCTGGAAGGATTGCATAAGTGTACTCGACGATGTGCAGCTGCCGCCGCCCGTCGAGGAACCCTCTCGTACACTCTGGGTGTGTTTAGCCACCGGATTATAAGTACGGTCCCGCTGACCGTGAGTGGCATTTTCTTTTGGATATTTCCCTTCCTGTTTTCTATCGTTCTCTCCTGTGAGAGAAGTGCAATTGAACCGCTTTACTGTCTCAGCTCAAATCGTCTTTCAATAGGTTATGGGCCTCGACTGCGTGGACACTGCGTCAAGGAGCTGAAGACTTGGGTGCTTCCCATTTGAGTGCGAGTTCCCCAAAG